GGATGAAATGGGATTAGCACATATTTATTGGTCTTAAAAATCGATCAAGAGACATAGGATTCTTAACAGTTCGGAAGGTGAGAGGCTCCATGGAGATCCATCATTACTGAGGAAGCTGTGTCCCCTGCAGTAGACTATAGCTGGAAGGATGTGAGAAAACAGAACTATCCTGCTTGCTGTGGAGTGGGGTGGAGAGGAACAAAGAGCACCGTGGCTGAGCAGGTAGAGGGATGGATGGGCAGGTAGTGGGAGTTGAAACTAATTGGACTTGCTGCAAGACACTGAGGAAACTTTTCACATATCCCTGTGCCACATCTCCAACTATAAAATGAGATGAGCCTAGCTTTTCCTTATAAATAAATCTAACTAACTCTCTTTATGAATGACTTTCCTTATAAATAGCTTGCCTTATAAATAGCTTACATGGCAAACACTACATAGGACATAACGGGCTCTGTGGCATTTTTCATAATAAACACATTTCTAAACCCAAATAGCTCAGTAAAACAGTTACAGATGCTATGCTACTTAAGGGAAGCATGTGCTTTCAAAATGTGTTGTTAGGATAAAAACCTAATTCATTGGACTGATTTAAATGTATTAGCAAGCATCTAACCTGCAGTAATTGCAAAAATCTAATTACAGAATTAAAATTATTATCAAGGCACCCCTCAATGTTCATGATACTACGTCTATTTTATACAGAAACTCATAATATCTGAAGCATCCCATAAAATAAACAATATAATCCCTAACTAAAGAAGGAGTTGTTTTTTGCAAATCTTTTGGGTTAGAGTTAAAATAAGTAACTTTACCGATTAGTCACAGAGTGTTTGCTTACTCGGGCTGGAAGCCAGTCCATGTCAGCGCTCCCTGGAGTAAATCCATGTGCAACAGCCCAGTGTCACAGAGATGCCCCAAGTGACAGTGACTAACAGTGCAAAGGGGTGTCTTGTGATCCCAATTCATGTGCACACAGGGCAAGACCCACATCTTCCAACACATATGAAGACAAGCTGTAACCTCAGACTGAGATGGTTCACCAGGGAAACTGCTTCACTTGAAAGACCCCATCTGCTCCCCTTTCTTAAAACATTCTTGCCATTCTTGCATCCTCCTCTACTTGTAGATTGCATACATAGATTGTATTGACTGTATGCTATACGTACATTGTAGATTATACACTGGGCAATGCTTATTGGCGACCCCAACATGATGCCATTTGCTGGAGAAAATAAAACACATCAGTCCATTTTTTTTTTACTTCTGCCAATGGCCAGAAAATGGTGATTAGCTGGGAAATGTTTGAACAAGCCTCTTTGCAGTGTGGATACTTTGGGATTCTTCCTGACTTTGTCTGGTTCTTCAGAAGACAAGTTCACATCAGGGCCTTCCTTTCCATCATCTTCCAGGAATTGCTTTTCACTTCTGAGAATTACCAAGTGCCAAGAGTGATGGCTGAGGTGGTTGCTGGTGGAGCAGGCAGAGAGGATGAACTTTACCTAGTTAGCAGGAACATACTGATCTTGTCAAATATTTCTGACAAAGCATTCAGAGGTTTCATTTCAGTTAGGGTCAAAGAAACCTTCACTTCCACAAGATAAAAAAGTCTCATTTAAATTATCTTAAGGCAACCATGAAGTTCAGTTCTCCAATCCTGTCAAAACAAGGGTCTTCAACCAGGTGCTCCTGGTACCACCTATCAACAGGACTATTTCTCTATACAGGCAGTTGTTTGTGAAACTTGGCTTAGCCCTTTCACAACACCCTCTTAGCACTTTCCAAGAGCCATTTAGCACTTAGCACAGCAAGCAATATGTGGCAAAGGACATGGGAAAAGAAGAGGGATATATTAGGACCGACTGCTGTTTGAGGGAATTTGCGTATTAAAGTAGATTATAGTATCAGAAATACTTGTGGGGGAAAAAAAAAACAACCCAACCAACCTCCCAGGGATAAATTTCTCCAGACTCTGGTTCTGACTACTTTTTAACCAAATCAAAATCTGCAGTCACCAGAAGCTCACTGGAATCTATGTTTTTGTTCAGTATTTAATTTTTTGAACTTAGTCGCCATCTCCTGAAGAACTTACCAATTATCCAGATATTTCCCCCTCTAAATAAGTATGCACTACAACTGAGAAATTGCCCATGGAGTAGCTGTTAAAAGGAATAGGATGTTTGGTGAACTGTTACAGGATAAGCTGTTCCTGAGCAGCTTCCTGTTTCTATCATTTTCAGCTCTAGTGTCCATGATTTGGATTTCAGACTGAAGTCTTCCATGTCTGATACTCCACTTGCTGCACTTCACTGCAGTCTCTGCAGTGCTTTGTGGCTGGGAAAAATCTGCCCATGCTCTCTCTGGAGCAGAGAGCTCAGCCCTTACATGCATTTTATAATTCTTTATATTTCCCAGCTTATATACAGATAATTTTCTGTGTAGTTTCTTACCAAATGCAATGCGTAGTGTGTTCAGTTTCACCATGTTTTTTACAGATTTTTCATAAGTTGGCATCACTTTATAGATCTTTCACTGATTTCCACTTCTGTTTCTATGGATGTTCTTTCCTCTGCATGACCTGGAGACAGCTTGGCAACTCCAGGCAGCCTAAAGAGCCACTTCTATGCAGAAACTGCAGGTCCTAGAGTATGCTGAGCCAACATCAAAGATAAAACATTAAAGATACTGACACAGCAATGGCACTGGCAATCAGCTCTTGCACGTGTGAAGAATCTTTAAGGATGCCCTTATGCAGCTTCTTCTATCCCTCTGATTAAGGTGATCTGCTACCATTTTACCTCACTTTGTCAAATGTATGTTTGTCAGGGCAGTCTGCTGTCACCAAGAACATTAATGTCAGTGCAACTTCCCATGTTCTGCTAATTATCCTCTATCTGATACAACTTTGATCACTTCTTGAATAGGGGATTTCCCCTTTAGCCAAGCACTAAGAATGCTTTATAAATTCTAGTTTTTACAAGGGTGGGGAGCTAACCTTGGTTAACTCTGAACTTTAGTTTTTCTAGCTTTTTTTGGATTTTGTTTTAAATACTGGGTGGTTTGGCAAAAGGTAGGTGTTTGATGCCATTCAGAACATAAGTCAAAAACTGCAAAAGTGGAAAGAATTAATTCCTTACGTATCCCATCCTTCTGCACTGCAAACCCAGGCTCCTTCAGGGAACAGATGACATGACACCATCAACATACTGATGCACAGTGAGCAGTAGCACTTCTCACTGCGCGGTCACCTTGCTGCCAGGGCCGTGGAGACAGACTGGAGCCAGCCGCCAGCTAGCAACTCCCAACAGTATAGCCGTGGCTGCTGGGGGTTCAGTGTTGGGTCTTTCCCCAGCCTCTCAGCAAGTTTGCAGTTGGCATGAAATGTCCTGCTGCTCACAACATTCTGCTCAGAGGCCAAGCTGCCAGTGAAAACCAGCTCTACTGTTCAAACCGCTCCTCTAAGTTACACAGTCTGCTTTATTCAGTAGGGAAATAGTCGGCTTGGACAGGTAATTGCATTCTCAGTTATCTCTTCCTTGAAAATCTTCCTCTGTGTTTACATCTTGGACCTCTTCTGGCATTTGGACGAGGCTGATGCTCGTCCATCAGTGCAACGATCCAAAGATGTACAGGATGTATTTGTGTACGCAATGACCTCTCCTAAAAGAGGCAGCTTTAGTGTCGCCTCTGTCCTGCATCCCCCGCCTAGTGAAACCAGTACGTTTTGAGCTGGGGCTGAACAAGCGGCCTCTTAGCCAGAGCAGCCATTCGAGGACTTCTCTCCCACGGCCTTGCTTAAGGATGGAGGGGAGGCAGCTCCTCTCTGCTGGAACGGACAGCTCGAGACAAGGGCTGGGCAGGCCTGAGGCGGGCTGTGCCGCCAAGGTGCGACCCGGCAGAGCGGCTCTGCCCGCGCCGTCCCCGCCGCTCCCGGCTGCCCTAAAAAAAAAAAAAAATTGAAAAAAGTACCATGCTTTTCTCTTTGAGCTTCGTGCCGCGGCTGCCCGGGCCCGCCCGGCGCCCCTGCTCCCGCTCGGCAGCAGCGCCGCGGGGCCCCGCAGCCGCGGCAACCAGCCTGCCGGGGCTTCGCTTTGGGTTCTTTGCTCTTTGGGGTTTTTTCTGACTAAAATGACGTTAAAGACCAGCGGGTTTTACAGGAAATTTTGCGCAAACTTTCTGGAAAATCACCGGTAACTACGGTGGGGTTGGGGGCAATACATCGAGGGGAATACATCGGAGGGAATACTCGGCTCTCCTTTTACTGCCCGGGCAGTGGGTCCGCCGTGTAGGTTTACCTACAAAAACAGCCTCAGCCTCGAGGCTTGGCTCAGCACTCACGGTGCACATGGTGCAGACACTGGTATGGCCATGGCTACAGCATGGCCACGGCCACAGCATGGCCACAGCCACAGCATGGCCACAGCCACAGCCACATTACAGACAAGGACATGGGCACGGCACGGACCAAGCTACGGCCACAGCCACTACCACAGCATAGTCATGGCCACAGCACGGCTATGGACAAGGACACTTGTCATGACCATGGTCATGGCCACAGCCACAGCATAGACATGGACAAGGACATAACACGGGCTAAAAGGCCATGAAAATGAGCACGGCCATGGGCAAAAAGGCACTTGTCCATGGCCACAGCACAGGCATAGACAAGGACAAGGACATGGCTACGGCCACAGCCAAAATGCCACGGGCACAGCCACGGGCACAGCACGGCCAGGGCCATGCCACCAACAAGGCCACATGTACAGACACAGACAAGGACACAGCCCTGGGTCGGGCACAGGCTACAGCACGAACACTAACACAGACACAGACACGGACAGGGGCACGGCACGGTCAAGGATAAGGATGAGGATGAGAATGCGGACAGGGACGCGGACACAGCAGGACATGGCAGTGCCGCCCGCCCGCCGCCAGGGGGCAGCGCCGCCGCGGGCCGGGCCGCGCGCTGCCCTCACGGCGCCTCGTCAGCCGGGGCGGGGCGGGGCTGATGGCGGCCCCGCGGCTGAGGCGAGCGCTGGCCGGGGAAATCGCTTCCGTCTGCTTACCCTGCTCCATTGCGGTTCTCTCCACTAAGACGAGCAGCAAAAAGTGAGTGGGGTTGAGGTCCAAGAGAGAAGATCAGATCAGTTCAAAAGAAAGGAGGAGCGAGAGAGAGGGCAAATAAACAACTTCACAGCTTTTCCTGGTTTTTCAAGTGGAAAGGGGAGTGTCTGTAGGCTAGGCGAGGCTCTGGCCCACATGCTTCACAGCGCAGGCGGTGGCGGGTTTCAGGACTGGAACAGCTGTCAGTAGATTCCAACACAGCAAGTTCTGTTTCCCTTTGCTTGAGAGATCGAGTGCAAAGGGCCAACCACCAGTCAGTTTGGGGACAAAACCCACAGAAACAAAAGAGAATTGAAGCAATCCATTTCTTTTGATGATAAGGGTGAGACGGCACGAATGTCATCCAAATTGCTGAGTGTATCACTATTGCCTGTGTTACGCTCGCAGGTCAAACGCAATGTGAAGTCAATGAGAATGCCCAACTGCCAGGGCATCTGGGCTGTGTCAGAAAGACTTGCTGCTCTCTGCTTTCTTAGAGCTAAAAGCAAATTCAGTAAGTTGTGGAGTTGAATGCTTCATCCTCCTCGCTCCCAAGCTTGAAAAGGTGACAGCTGTTTTCTCAGGGCCTGTTATTTTAGACACCTCCATGATTTATATATCTCTGCAAACATGGTGGATGGAATTGCATGTCACAGACGAGCTGAAAATAACTTGTATATGCTCATATATGGACTCTGATATCTACTGGCCCATGTAGAAAAACTCCAAATTGAATCACGTGATCCGTGCCTGGCGGATGCATTAAGATGTACTGATGGAGCAATGGTGGGTTAAAGTGAAGTTGAGGTGTTCAGTGAAGAGTACTGGCAAGGACTCTGTGGTAACACTGTGCACAGCAGAACCACCGTGGCTTAGCCGTCGTGATTGTTTTGCTAAGATGGGCAGTCACATATGGAGGGAAAATTCATATATAGAACAATATGCAATTCCCTGTGGGATCATAGAACTGGACAGACTGCCTTTGGCCTCTGCGTGAGAGGTTCAGAAGATACCTGAAAAGGTGTTTGTAGAACTTTGTTTGGATGTGTGGGTCCTTCTCACTAGAAACAGTACTTGGGGAAATTTTGCTGTGGGACCTTGGAGTGTCAAGCTGTTAACATCTGGTCAAGTATTTTGGGATAGCCTGATGGAAGGGGCAGAGAAATAAATATGTTACATCCAGGCATGCCCAGCACTCCAAAAATCTGTTAGGTGTCACTGTGTATGGCACACAGGCACACACCAGGGTGAAGGCCCAGTGTCAAGGCTAAGATGTAAGGGGATGTTGTTCTCAGGTGAACTTCTCAAAAGCTGAGGTTTCTGCTTCCCTCCATCTGTGGAATTCAGGGAGTTTCACCCAGCTGCTTAAGTTTTCCCCTGAGTGCTGCCTGGCTTCCTTTGGGTACAGCTCAGAACCAGCATTCTCTGGGAGACGATAATATTTTCCAAGGCTGGGCCATTCATCCATGCCAGCCTCTAGAGAATATGGAGAAGCTGTGCAGAAAAGGCCCTGGGCACACTTGTCCACACCCTGTAGCCCGCAGTAGACATTCACAGCCTGCCAAGGTAAACTGTGTGAGCCTGAATCACAGCCAGGTCTGCAGCAAAAGCAGTGAGTGAAGAGTGGCAGAACTTTAACTCCTTGGGAGGGGCTGAAGACAGAACTCACAGCAGACGACCCAAATTGGTGGCGGAAGCCTGTATCTCACAGGGTTTCCTGCCAGAGTTTCTGCTGTACCGCATGTCATCTATGCACTTAAAGCCTTTTTTTTTTTTTGTTCTGGGAGTTTTTTTGTTGGGTTTGGGTTTTTTTTTTTCCCTCAAACAACACCTTCAGGCATTTGTTTCCACTTACCTGAGTTCTTCCCAAACACTGGGCTTAAACTTACTGTTGTCTAGTCCCCTTTGATCACCAATATGTGATGACTCAGGTCTGGAGCATAAACCACTGCTTTCACTTAGAAATCATTCAACCTACCTGTCTAATTCCTCAGAGATTATCTGGATTCAGCATGTGCTCCTTTCCCTTTTGTCAAAGCCCCATGACTTCCAGTTTTCCCTTGCATCTTCCAGTTTCTCTGTCCCTGTGGTTGTTTGCTATTCCTTTTCCTTCTTTTGAGTCTCTCTGCCACAAAGTGTCACACCAAGTTATATTTTCAGATATATGGTGGAGGTGATGGGGATGTTAATTCTGCTCTCAGAAGATCCTTTAGAAAAAAACTATTCTTTAAACACCCACAAGACAAAAGGGTTTAGTTTTTAAGCTGACAGACAAATAATTTGTCCACAGTCAAAATGTTTGTGATGATAATGGTGCTGTGGCCTGAGGGAATTAATTAAACTATCCTGCTCACAAATACCTCAGTCCAGCAATGTCCCATGTTGTATCCTGGTCTGAGACTCATGGCCCCACTCCTGCAGGAGGAAAATGCTTGCATCTTTGGAAAACTTGGGTGAAATTTTAAGTGACACAGCAGTAGTAGAACCCAAGGTCTTCTGCTGATTTACTCTTATCCAACACAATTTAGATCCCTCTGTCCAAAACTTTGGACAATGTCAGTGGGATAAATGGTACAAAATTGCCATTTTGTCTGGGAAGATGTTGGATCTATTTGCTCTTGCAATATCTTGATGTGTGTGTGGCTGTATGGGAGTGTGGCAAAGGGTCCCCTAATCTTCAGCCTGTGACTGTAGTGGAAAAAATAACATAGAAATGTAAGGTAATTGTTTTTTAAAAAATTGTGCCGTGTTTTGTTTGTTTTGTTTTTTTTTGTTTTTTAATGCCTCCCAGTTCTCCTTTACTAGTTGCAGTCCAGGAAACTTTGTGTTTATTAAGCACTGTGTAAATTTGCAGCTCTCTATAAATGTAAAATCAATAGGAGTGATAACAGCAGCATAGTGCTCAGTCCAGCCCTGGTAATAACCCAAGAGTGCTAATTCCTTGATAAGGTCACTTGCTTCACACAGGCACCTCCTCTCCATGTGAAAACACAGGGTGCAGCACAGAAGATATTTGTGTTCCCTGACACGACAGAAGACACTGAAAACATGTAATTTCCAGCAGGTGACAATGGCGGGCAACAATGTGAAGGACTCTTACAATCTATTGTAGAGGCCTTCATCCCTCCACGGAGCACTGCAAACATGTTCTCTTCTAGGAAATCAAAATCTTAGCAAACATCTGGTATCCTTTTTAATCTCTTCTCATAAGCAGATGAGAAAGGGGGATCTCCAGTAACCTGATGGAGTAAGCAAGATTGTATTTCTGGAGGATGAGCAGAGCAACAAAGATAAAGTCATGTGTGGCTGACCCCTCTGAACTGTGGTCTCCATCAGTGATGCCACTACTCATGGCCTGGGCACTTTCTGGGGTTCACTGAGTGTATGTAGGGACCACACTCCTGCCTTTCCCCAGGTGTCCTGCTGCTCTGCCTGCTCAGGCTACCCCACTTCCATCCAAACAGGTTGGTGGAAGGGCTTTTGGCTTTTCACAGCTGGAACTTTACCACCAGGGGCAGTAATTAAGTATTTACTGTGGAAAAATAGCTTGTATACCCCTAATGTCTGATTGTCCCCTCTACCTTCTACTGTGGTGATTCTCTCAATGCTGCAAACTCAAGCTTTGTTTGGCTCCCTGCGGTCTGCTCCTCTTCCCTTCCAGGTCCCCTTCAAACATGGCTTAGGGTTCCCAGGTGGCTTACAGCCATTCATCTGGTCTCTGTCATGACCTCCCCATGGAATTTGCGCGTAGACCTGAGAAACCAGGATAAATCCATTCCCTCCTCCTTGCCCACCACTGTCAGTGAGCCTGCTGTCATTCTGCTCTGTGGTGGGTCCATAGTGACCCTTGGGCTTTTTCTTTTGCCATACTGCTGCAGTAAATCCAATCCATCTGCACATCAGTACCCTTCTGTTTTCTTCTTCCCTGACCTCTGCCTGCTATCGCATCCCTAGGTCCAGTGACCTTAGGCACAGGAGGAATCCTCCTTACGACCCTATCCCAAAGGTGGCAACTCCTGCTATTAAATAATAATCATACAGTAATAATCACCAGAGGGCTGACAGGGACTTGGGGAGGTCTCTGAAGCTATATCCCCCTCTCCAAGGTGGAGTCACCCAGGAGCAGAGTATGACGTGGGCGTTAAATGCTTCCAGCAATTGGGATGCCGCAGCCTCCCCAGCAGCCCCCTGCGGCCCAGGAGACCGTCCTGGAGAAAAAGCACTTTCTTGAGCATAGCACAAATCCTTCCTCCTGCGAATAAGGCTGATGGTTACTTGTCCTTCTTCTGGTGGATCTGGAGTAGAACTGGTCATTGTCTGCTTTATAGAACCTTTTATATAATAACAAAACAGCTTTTAGAGTAACTGAGAAAGAGGCGTTTGCTCACTTGCAAAGTCAGGAAATTCCCTGCCAATGGACATTCTTTGTCGGGGATCCTTTGCCAGCATAGGCTGAGCACTAAGCCCCACAATCTGCATTTTCCTTTTGAATGACTCCCACAAAATAAACCAAATATCACATCCAAGGAGATTTATTACATCCCTTCCAAGGGCGAAGCATTCCTCAGCTACATTCCATTTCTGTCTTTTGTGCTTAGGAAAGGGGAAAAAAATCGCTGTGATGCCGCTGGATCCCACCCCTCCAGGGCTTCTGTCGTTAATAAAGTCGAGCAGCTGGAGCCAGATTTGTCAGACTAGTCCTGAATGGCTGGCTCTCTCCTGCTGCAAAAGCAGCACCATCAGAGCAGTGCTAGGATTCCTGCTTCTGCTGAAAGACTAATAAGTTGTGGCACCACGTTTCCTCAGTAAAACCACCTTTTGTTGTTCCCGGTGACACCTTATCCCCGTGGCAGCAGCTTGCCAGAGTGGATCTTCTCGTTTCCTAGCTGCTTTGCCTTCTCCTGCCTCTGCATGATGCAAGAGTTTGCAATGCTTTTTGGGAGCTCAGATGTGCTCACAATTGCTTGAAGCAATTGCTCTCTCCAGGCTTTGCAGTGAAGCTTTTA